CCCAAGAGCAGTTGCTGGCTGCACAGTTCACCGAAAGCATCCCGAATCCCATTGCCCAGCAGCTACGACTAGTGAACACAGTCCAACCCATGGATATTAGTGAGCTGGCGAAGGTGACCAGGAAAGTAATGGATGCAGTAACAGCTTCAGTAAAGCCACTAGAGGTAAAAAAAACTGGATAAAACAAGTCGATAACTTTCAGGAGAAGGTGGCTGTACTTCGAATGAATATCAACAGACAGAACAAATGGTTCGCATGCGGAAAACTGGGACACTGGAGAAGAAACTGTCCGGAGTGGCAAGAAATAAAATATTTTGAACGATATGTGTTCTGTCATTCCTACTAGACTAGATATTGTAGGATCCATAGATAAAGTTGTTGTGTATGCTAAAGTACGAATAAATGATTGGAAGATTTCAGTCGCCCTCTCAACATATACTACTTATATCCATTCTGACCAGCAATGTCACTACAATATCATTTGGAGTGTCATTGAAAATACAAGAGCACTAGATAACTGTTTCGTCCACAGTGTGTACTCATGATGCGCTACCAGCCATGTAGCACATTACCATTCAACCACTCCGAAAAAAATTCATTGATCCATATTTTCCCATTCCCTCGATTTACGATAAAGCGTCACGTTTACCTGAAACCATCGATGATTATTTACCCAGTGTTCAACCCAGTTTTGCCTAATCGGTCAGGACTTCTGATTAGAATTCCAGTATGCCTGACTTCGAAACGTGTCCCTAATGAGTACTTGACTCAGTGTCTTGACATTAACGTGCTAGATGTGAAAATAAGAAGGTCGTCAGTGAGCACTGTTGAAGAGTTTCACACTATGATGAACCAACTGTTCAGTACTCCCGAAGTTTCAGTAGTTCTTCAACTGGACTCAGTCCATGATGAATAACAACTAAGGTACCTTCGTTAGAAAGTATGTAATTTAATTATTGCCACTTATAATTTTCTGATGTTATGTTGGATCGAAATGACCGACCTCTATTGATATAGGGTTTTAGTCTGAATAGCTAAATATTACCCGATTCTTCATTCGACCCAGTGGAAAAACAAGAAATCGAAAGTACCAATAAATAATATCTGATATTAATGATGGGTAATGGTTAGCAGTGGAATCCAGGATGCACATTTTGTCCTATTTAGGACCCGTTAGCTGGGTGCACCTGCCTCACAGTATTCTCACTGGGATTCGGACTCGGGACGAGTTCCAAATAGGATGATATATGCATCCTGGATTCCAATGCTAGCCACTATCCATCGTTGCTGTAATTATGACACAGGTAATATCGAAGCATCCTCACACCAACCCATATGCTAGTATAGGTCGGTCAACTCGGTCCAGTCAGTGATGGTATAATACACGCAGTGATACTAATATCTGATAGCTGTTACACAATAGGTGACTGTCGTGACTCTGTGGCTAAATGGATTATGGTTTGACGTTTAGAGTGATGGGTATTAGGTTTGAATGCCGGTGGGAACATCATTAGTCACTGGAGATGCACATAAATCCAACTGTGTCTTGGATTCCGCTACCAACCACCATCAAGTATACTACAAGTATGTATGTATTTCATAATGAATTTGTTTAACATTGGTACTTGGAATATACTTCGTGCAAATTTTGTCTTTGAATCCATTGAATATTCCAAAGATCCCAAGTAAACTTTTTAAAAACAGTTTCGAAGCATTTTTAAAAAGAATAATGTAACTGGCTTTTACCCTCAGAAGTACCATGAATTTTATATTGATCTTGGTGACTAGAAGAGGAATCTAAGACGCATGTTTCGTCTGATGTTAGATGCACCTGCACCTCAGTGAGGAGTGTTATTGTTCCCACTGAGACTCAAACCCAATACTCTTCATTTCAAACGCCAGAGCATTATCCACTGAACCACTGAGGCACGATAGACACCTCTTTTTTAACGGGTATCAGTTGTTGTTCATTGATACTGTTAACTTCTTGTTGCTGTACAAGGTTGAATTCCTTGATCTAGTTATTAACTGAGAACTAACAGTATCTGTACTCAAGCAAATTTGTAGAATATGAAGATTATACCCAAATACAGTCAGGAATCATTTTGATACTCCATAAAAGGTAACCGAGAAAGAAGAATCTCCGCATAAGGTATTTATTTATCGGTATCGATTGTAAAAACCGATTGTAAAATTCAGGTGATTTATTTTCTCTGCTTCTTTTTAACAGTTTCATAGTTTAAACTCTTGAGCAACTGATGCGAAAGAGATGAAACACACCAAAAATAATCCAGATTTTCGAAAAATTGATTCTCCTTTAATTTTTCAAGCGAATAAGATAGATGAGAGGACACAACTACTTCCGATTTAACTAAACAATGAAATGAACAAAGTTTTTTTGGCATTATAGTCTACCTAGTGGCAAACAGAGGAATCCAGGATGCGCTTCTCACCTGACTTGGAACTCATAAGCTGGATATACTTGCACCTTAGAAGGCAGTGTCGTACCCACTTGTCCAGTGGGTATCAGTTAGTGTTTATTTACATCTGTAAAGTTCAGTTGCTTTACTGGGTCGGATTGGTCAACTTCTGTCTTATTGATTAAATGAGAAAACCAATTCATATGCATAACAACTCAGTCAGTGAGTCATAGACGCTTAAAATAACTAAATCCTAGCTGCCTTTAGTGACTTGTAATCGTGTTAAAAGTATACGATTTTTGATCTGATAATTCACTATTTGCTCATCTGTATCATTTCCCGTGTTAAACATACCCTAATCAGATGTGTTCAAATTGCATTACTGCTACTACAGATCTATACAACAGCTGAATGACAGTCTTCGGCTATGCCATATAGAATCCTTCCTCATAAAGTGAATCCCAATGAAATCGCTGAGCCATACAAAATATGTTTTTCAAATCTTTTGGGTAGTGAAGGAAACTGATAGTGAGTGAATCCACTGAATCTCAAAGCCATCCGATCTCATAACCAACTATAAGCAGGTGAGAATAGTTAGTTATTAGACGGTTAACTGTCACATTACACAACACTGGTTACCAAAACTTATTGTAGGGAGAACTGGGAGCAGTTGTTTAGTTTTAGTATGCGATGACTGAGGTCTAAGCTAAAAGATCAACAGGCGATAAATAACAAGTTGAAAGAAGAGTCGAAGGGAGGCAGCGAACACTAGACTTCCTTCACCTCAACGTGGAGAAGACAGAAGTCTTGAAGACACCCAACCAACAACAGCGTCAACAACAAGCATCAATCAACATGAACCAGAGGAAGATAAAGGAAGTAATCTCTTTCACCTACGTACTTGGGCAAGGCGACATCGTCCCAACTACAGGCGACACAGGCACAGATGATGGTTTCAAAGCAAACAAGATCGCAAAGACAGCAGGACATGCCTTCCTGCATTGGTCTGAAATAATCAATGTAGGGATCTACTGCACTCAGTGAAAAGCGTGAATACGATCCGGATTTTCAACACTAATTCAGTTAAGTAAGTCAGTGCTTCTTTGTGATGGTTGAGAAGCTTGTCGCCCTACAAAAGCATTTCCAACAGACTGCAGACATGCATCAACAGCTGCCACCTAAGCTCACTCCATACTGAAGATGGCCAGAAAGAATAAGTAACAAGGAACTTCGGCCTGGCAACAAACGAACGAACTAATTAACGATCCATCACCCAACAAATGTGCAGACAGAAACGACGAGTTGGGCATGCAAGGATGACATAGGGGAGATCGTTTGAAGAAGAAATGAAAGGTTGTAGGCAGTGATGGAGACAGGTTGAGAAGACTGAATAGAAGAGAGTGAAATGATGACGTGCAACAGAAGTCCTATGTTCCACTAGGAACCCAAGGGACAAATAATAAAGTAGTAATATTCCAACTTCTTAGTACTATTGTATAAATAATAAAAATTATTATTATTAGTCCCTTCGGTTCCTAGTGGAACATAGGACTTCACTAGCACGTCTCCAGTGAATTCTGTTCTCTGAAATCTTTTCAACCTGGCTCCACGACAGCTCACAAGCTCTCATTTCCTCATCGCACCATTTCCTCCATGTCACCCTCACCTCGGACGTCCAACTCGTCGCTTCCCATCTGGGCTCCTCTCGAGCAACTGCCCTGACGCGTGATGTCCCCAGTCGGCCTTCTCACTGTATGCCCAATTCATCTCCACTTCCTTCCAGTGCATATTTGTTGAGTGAGAGGTTCTTGCTTCGTTGGTTCGTTCCCAGAGTGCGTTCCTTGTTGCTTATTCTAATTATGCTGGCCATCTCATCTGATCTTCAGTAACGAGCCAGTGTAGCAGTTGTTGATGAATGTCTGTAGTTTGTTGGAAATGAATTTCGTAATGCGCCGAGTCTCTGAACCATACAGAAGCACTGACTTGACTGGGTTGGTCTTGAAAATCCGGATGTTGTTCCACATGCTGAGCTGAGTGCAGAAGATCTGCACACTGGTTTCAGGCTAATGAACACCTGTCTTGCTTTTCCGATTCTGACTTTTGACGTCGTCGTCTGTGCCGCTGCCTGTAGTTGAAACAGTGCTTCATGCCTAGATAGGTGAAGGAGGTTACTTCCTTTAAGTTTCTCCTGTTGACGATGATTGGAGTTTGCTGTTGTTGTTGTTGGTGGTGGTGGTGAGGTATCTTCATCACCTCTGTCTTCTCTATATTCACCTGAAGTCCCGTCTTCGCTGCCTCTTCTATCAACTTGTTAGTTTTTGCCTGTAGATCTTCAAGTTTATGTGACATTAGGCACAAGTCATCGGTGAAATCCAAGTCGTCTAGGCTCTTTTCCACAGTCCAGCCAGCGTATCCCCCTCTTTTCGCTCCCCACTGTTTGCTGCATGATCCAGTCCACCACAATCAGGAATATCATGGAGGATAGTAGGCGTATAAATAATAATGGATAATAATAATAATAATAATAATTAAGACAACATTAATGAGAAGGGTATTTTGTTTTTATACTGATTAACTTACGCGATCGCTTTTATAATTGTTGCAATCCAACAGGCTAAATTGAATAAACCGAATATTATTCCAAAGGTAGTAAATGATATTACAGTATTTTTATGATAAGATTTCAATAGGATTGGATCAATGGTTGTCTGTATTGTTTCTGATGTTTTTGATACATCAGATAATCTAATATTGACATCTTCACTTGTTAATAGAAAATCTTGTCCATTAACAAAATAAATAACAGTAATTATTGTCAATAAAAATATTAGCATATACTTGATTATGTCATATTCACAACAACACATTATGAGATAAGATTATGTTTAGTAGAGAAATTCTCTGATATAATACACTTATTTTATATATACATATGTCTTAAAGAAAAGAACATAACTACGTAGGTGTACTCTTGATAGATTGATTTAGGTGCTCAAGATGTTTGATTGGATTTTCAATCTGAATAAATTGGTGTACTATATAAAAGTGTCTTTACAATATCTCATAACCATACTTGAAACCTTATAGGTTACTACAATAAAATCAATAAGTTATCGATTTTTATATCATAATCACTAATGTATACTACAGAATATTTTGATGTGATCAAATTAATACTATTTCAAAGACAAGATATTGAGATGAAAACTGTTCTCACATATATATGAACTTTAATAAATTACATTATAAAAATAATGATGTGAGTTAAGTAAACGCAGGATAAATGATTCAGTGAGTTGATGACACATTGACAAGTGAAGCAGAGCAGGCTGCTGGTAGATCAGGGGGAGATCAACTCAGATGAAACCAAAGAAGTATGATGAAGGAAAGCTAATTGCCAAAGAGGTGAAAAAAAGAAAACAATAGACTGATCACTTCAAAAAGACCTTGAATCAACCATCACCTGCACTTCATCCAGAAATACCACCAGCAGCTCAGTCACAGAACTACCAGTAAACATATGCCCTCCAACAATAGCAGAAGTCCTGAATGCCATAAAGTTGCTTAAAACTGGGAAAGCAGCAGGACCAGGAGGTATTCCTCCAGAAGCAGTGAAAACAGACGCAGAGACAACAGTGGACATGCTAGCAACACTACTGCAAAAGGTTTGCAAAGAGGGACAGAAAGGTACCCTTCGACTGGAAGAAGTACCAGCTTTGTAAGAACAGGCGAGGAATCATGCTGCTATTCACTCAAAGCAAAATATTAGGCCGCATCATCCTCGGGATATTGGAAGGTGCTCTGAATTCAAAATTAGGACCGGAGCAGCCTGGCTTCAAGTAGGAATCAAAGCTCAACCCTACGCTACGCATCATAGTAAAGTAGGGCACAGAAAGACAGGGTGAAAACTCTCCATATCACCTCAACTTCATCAACTCTAAAAAAGACCTTCGACACCGTCCACCAACAACTATTTCGCAAAATGCTTAAACATTATGCACTACCACAAACCAACATCAAAATCATTCAACAACTATATGACAATGCCACATGCACAGTCATTCACAATCAAAAGCTCAGTGACACCTTCGAAGTGAAGTGAAGTGAAGACAGGAGTAAGACAAGGCTGACGCCTTATATCACACATGATATTCCTGACTGTGATCCACTGGATCATACAACAAACTGTGAGGAGCGTTGAGAAGATGAGGTGAAGCTGTTTGACCAATGAGAGGACCCTAGAAGAAGATTTGCATTTCGCCAACGATGATGATTTGTGTCTGATGTCTTGTGGCACAAGCACGAATATATACTGGCGACAACCAACAAGTTGACAGAAGAGTCGAGGTGAGATGTGGAAGCGAACACACGACTTCCTTCACCTGAACGTAGAGAAGACGGGGTTGTTGAAGATAACCAACCAACAACAGCATCAACAATGAGCATCAATCAGGATAGGAAAGAGAGCGAGACACGCCTTCCTGCACTGATCTGAAATAATCAGTGTGGAGATCTACTGCACTGCACTGTACTGCACTGCACTGCACTGTACTCAACATAAAGTGTCAACAAGGTCCGGATTTTCATCACCAAGTCAGTCAAGTCATTGCTGTTATATGGCTTCGGAACATGGCGTGTCACGAAAAGCATTTCTAACAAACTAAACACTACATGATCAACAGATGCCACCTACACTCACTCCATACTGAAGATCAGATCAAATGGCCACAATATTAGGAATAAGCAACGAGGAACTCGTTCTGACTGGCAACAAACCAACGAATCAACCAACCAAGAAGCCATCACTCAACAAATATACAGAGGAAGAAAGTGGAGATGGGGATGGATTGGGCATACACTGAGTAGGCCGATTGGGGGCATCACACACCAAGCCAAGTCAAGTCGAGCGAAGCCAAGCTAAGCCAGGTCACTGAGTGGAAGTCGAATGGTAAATGACGATTTGAGAGTAAGAGGTGAGGGTGACGATGAGGAGATGGTGTGAGGAAGAAATGGAAGCTTGTGGGCATTGGTGGATCCAGGTTAGGGAGAGTGGAGAGAAGAGAGTGAGATGGCGACGTGTTACTGGAGCCCTATGTTCCACTAGGAACCTCGCCTGGTTAACTAGTTCACTAGTTTCTAGCCGGTCCTAAGCCCGGGTAAAGAGGGAAGGCTGGGCATAGTGCTTGCAACCCTACCCCGTAAAACAAATCTAACCGCTAAAGAAACTTCAAAGCACAAACAAAATATAAAAAATGAAAACAAACTTATTCCCCGCTGGAATCGGAGAGGCGAAATGACGCCAGTTGGTGAAAGCCTTCGGGAAGCCAATTGGCCGATGTGTCTTCTCTCGATGAAAGTGAAAGTAAACGTGGGGACATGGAATGTCCGCACCATGTTTGAACCCAGTAAGGCAGCCCAGATTGCAAAAGAGATGAGAAGGTATAACATCGAAGTGCTTGGAATTCGCGAAAGTAGATGGAATGGGAGTGGAGTCTCCAAACTGTCAACTGGAGAATCAATAATCTACTCCGGTCACCCAAACGACAACCACGAGCACACTGAGGGAGTGGCTATCATGATGTCCCTAAGAGCATCGAAGGCTCTCATGCAGTGGGAACCAATCTCCTCCAGGATCATGACAGCAAGATTCAACTCAAAAGGAAGGAAGGTCACAATCATACAATGTTATGCCCCTACAAATAATGCACATGAAGAGAAAAAGAAGGAATTCTACAGAAAACTTCAATCAACACTGGACAAGACCCCACCCCAGTTGGCGATATCAAAATTCTAATGGGTGTGGTGACATGAATGCCAAACTGGGAGCAGATAACACAGGAAGAGAACTAACCATGGGTCGAGAGGCGCTAGGTGAAATGAACGTGAATGGAGAATTGTTTGCAGAATTCTGTGCATTCAACGATTTGGTGATTGGAGGCAGTGTGTTCAGGCACAAAGATATCCACAAAGCGACATGGATTTCACCAGATGGACACACTAAAAATCAAATCGACTTTATCTCAATCTCAAGAAAATGGAGACGCAGTCTACTGGACACAAGGTCAAGAAGAGGAGCAGATGCAGGTTCAGACTACTATCTAGTGCAAGGAACCTTCCAAATCAAGTTGAAAGCCTTCAAGGAAGCTGGTGATAGACCGCAGTTCAGGTACAACACTCGGAAACTGAAGGACGAAATTACAAAGGAGATCTTCAAGGCAGCCATCAAGACAAAATGGGAGATATCGAGGAACACCCCTGAAGAAACCTGTGTGGAAGAACACTGGAAGTCTTTGAAAGCTATGTGGAAAGAAACCTGCACAACAGCATTAGGAAGGAAGAAGAAAGAAGACAAGGAATGGATCTCGACGGATACCTGGAAGCTGATAGAGGAGAGGAGGATGGTGAAGCAGAAGATAAACCAGTGCAAGGATGCACAACAAGAGGAGGAACTGAGTACAATGTATAAAACACTGGACAAAGAAGTGAAGAAGAGTGCACGCAAAGACAAAAGACACTTCTACGAAACACTGGCAAGTGAAGCAGAACAGGCTGCAGGTAAGAGAGACCTGACGACATTGTATCAAATAACCAGGTTGCTATCTGGGAAGAGATCAATGCAGACGAAGCCAATAAAAGATGATGATGGAAATCTATTTACGAAAGAAGAGAAACAGAGGAAACAATGGGCCGACCACTTCAAGAAGCTCTTGAATCGACCACCACCTGCACTTCGTCCAGAAATACCACCTGCAGCCGCCGAACTACAAGTGAACATAAATCCCCCAACGAAAATGGAAGTCCTGAACGCCATAAAGCTACTGAAATGCGGGAAAGCAGCAGGACCAGATGGGATCCCGCCAGAAGCACTGAGAACAGACGCAGAGACAACAGCGGACATGCTCACACCACACCACTATTGCAGAAGGTGTGGAAGGAAGAGAAGGTACCTGGCGATTGAAGAAGGGTTACCTTGTCAAACTGCCGAAGAAAGGAGACCTCAGTGTTTGCAAGAACTGGCGCGGAATCACTCTCCTATCCACTCAAAGCAAAATATTAATTCGCATCATCTTGGAGAGGCTTAAAGATGCACTGGATTCAAAACTACGACCGGAACAGGCAGGCTTCAGGAAGTACAAATCATGTGCAGACCAAATTGCAACGCTTCACATCATCATAGAACAGAGCATAGAATGGCAATCAGCTCTCTGCCTCAACTTCATCGACTTTGAGAAGGCCTTTGACAGCGTCGACCGAGAAGTAATTTGGAAGCTGCTTCAATACTACGGAGTACCGCAAACCTTTATCAGCCTCATTCAACAACTATATGAAGATGCCACATGCCAAGTAATTCACAATGGGAAGCTCAGTGATGCTTTTGAAGTGAAGACAGCAGTAAGACAAGGCTGCCGCCTGTTATCACTCATCATATTCCTGATTGTGGTCGACTGGATCATGCAGCAAACAGTGAGGAGCGGAGAAGAGGGGGATACACCGGACTGCGGAAAACAACCTAGAAGATCTCCATTTCGCCAATGACTTGTGCCTGATGTCACATAAACTTAAAGATCTACAGGCGAAAACTAACAAGTTGACAGAAGCGGCGAGGCAGCGAAAACGGGACTTCAGGTGAATATAGAGAAGACAGAGGTGATGAAGATACCGCACCAACAACAACAGCTAACTCCAATCACCATCAACAGGAGGAACTTAAAGGAAGTAACCTCCTTCACCTATCTGGGCATGCAGCACTGCTTCAACTACAGGCGGCACAGGCACAGACGACGATGTCAAAACCAGTCAGAATCGGAAAAGCACGACAGGTGTTCATTAGCCTGAAACCAGTGTGCAGATCTTCTGCACTCAGCTCAGCATGTGGAACAACATCCGGATTTTCAACACCAACCCAGTCAAGTAAGCCAGTACTTCTGTGTGATGGTTGAGAGACTTGGCGCGTCACGAAATTCATTTCCAACAAACTACACACATTCATCAACAACTGCCTACACTGGCTCGCT